GCCAAATTCTGAGCTTTTAAAAGGATACAATTCTACATTCCTTAGAGTCGCCGAGTCTGCATCAAAAGACGACTGATACAGATCCCCATACCGTGTAGCCAAGTTTCTGAATTCTTCCATGGAGAGTTTCATCTACAGAGACAACGTTACTACTCACACATTAAATGTTACTAGACAATTTACTAGACACAAATAAACAAACAAGCCCTTCCTCCCCCCTTCAACTATGCTACAAACTACAACACAGAGGGGATAAGACCACATACTCTGACAGAACATCTATAATTCCTACTTCTTCGCACACATGAAATGCACCAGGGTGACACAGAAGTTAGTCAACACTTTCCAAAGAAATATTGCAGCATGATCTTTAAGTGCATTTTCTTCCTTTAAACTAATGTAATCGCAGTGCATGAGGCATTCCGCAGCAAGATGGAAAGATTTCACTGGTTCTAAGCTGGTTTCTATATACATATCCTTAGAAACTGTGCATGCATGAATATGTGGAAAAACATGCACATACACACCTCAAGTGAGGCATGCACAAACCTCAAAACCAGGTCTGCCACAGATAGGTATTTTTACAGTCACAATGGAGAAAACAAGGCCTACTATTTAGCGAAACACTTTACTGCCACTTTCCACTTCTTTTCAGAGCTGAATTTGGCTTCTCAACAGGTACTCCAGATAACAAAACTGCACAAAAAAAACCCTAAAACAACCAACACGTGCCTGGTTAGAGATACGCCCACATCTTTGGAGATCATTTCCCGATGTCATAGCAATTGTTGTGGCAATAGCTGGTGGTGGGCTTGTTTTGAGGCTGTTGCAGGTACAAATGAGTTGAGAAAAAGCTTGCAGAAGGTCAATCCTGAGTTTCACAAACCCACACTGAAAGCTGAGAGGATTAAGCGGTGTACTGGCAGCCTGAAACACAGTAATAGGGAAGTCTGCAATGTAGGTCAAAAGCAAACATGGTAAAATAATTTTGCAACATCACTGAATTGTCTCATCAGACAACAAGACACTTCAATTCTAGAAGTTGCTTAAAAAAAAACAAATAGCAGATTTGCTCCATTTAAAATCATACTTGAAATGAACAACACAGAAGTTTATGTAATTACTAAACTGTATTTCAAGCACATCAGCCTTAAAACCAACATCACTCAAGTGGCTACAATACAATTAGGGGGCCTATTTCCTCTTTTCTGCAAGACCAAATCATCAGGCTTCAAATGACAGTGGTCCAGACATTCCTTGGCAGAAGAGAGAGGACACTGAAATGCTGAACAGACAGAAACACAATGACTGAGAAAGTGATTCTCTGCATCAGCCAGAAGAGAAAGAACTGGTTGAAGTAAAGTAACCTGCATCAAGTGGAAGGAATGAAAACCTTGATTTCCTTGGAACTGCAAAACAGACAGGAAAGGCAAGGAACCTCGTGTTTGATGACGGCAGAGACAGGGGTCAGTGACAACTGAGAATATTAAATAACAGAACCCCAAGAGGGAAGACACGCTGCTATTTCACAGAACTGTTATTTCTAAATAACTGTGCTCCCTGAGAGCTTATGTGACTCGTATAAGCATCTGTGACAGCTTAAGGCACCCAGGAGGGGGTAAACACAAGTCAAGCCAAAATCAGTCATTTTTCTTACACTGACACATTTTGAAAACCTTCCTGCCTGCCTCCCAGAAAAGGCAACTACCAGGATCCTCTCTTACTCACAAACGGATGCACGACATATTTATGCACACGATTCTCGTTCCTCACCAGGAAAGGCCACTTCTGGGCACAAGAAGTTATGATCCCTCACCGAGAGCAAGCTCTTTGCTGGCAAGAAACCAAACAAGTTTATCTCAAAACTTCACATCTGAGAACTACCCTGCTATTGACTAATGTGAGGAAACTACGAGCATTTTAATTAAAACTACTGAGCTAGATTTCAACCTAAGAAATGAGACTATTTCATCACTTGAGCATTTCAGCCCCTCTTATCACTTTGCTTTGCTTTCTCTAAGGGCATTTATAGAAATAAAATAAATGGAAATTGCTCAAGAGTTTATTCTGGAAGAGTGGTTTCAAAACCCTCCATGGAAAGAACCTCACTGTACTGTAAGTGCTCTACAAAGACTACATGCTTTTACAGAGAATAAAGAACCAGTACTTTATAACGGAAAATCCAGACATTTTTAGAAGCACAAATTAGACTGGATTCCTGTAAATGGAAATACAAATTTGCCTCATTAATAATACAATTTACCTTATCTTCTATGGATAGGGCCATGGACAAGAAATGAGCTACTGTACTTTCTGTGAAAACCACAGAAAGTGTTCTTTAGTTTAATTAAGTTCTTCAAGTAACACCACTGTTATCAGCACATTTGGAGTGCGCGCTGCTTAATGCTCTTTTCAAATTCCGTATCTTCCCTAGAATACCTGTAGCAAAAAATAAGCAGAAAGCTTCCAAGGAGATGCAAGTTCTGGGCCAAAAAATAAATGAGCGAGTCCTATTTCTAAACTTTTGGTGACTACAGCAAGAAGCCTACAGCAAGACAGATGGAAACTGTGGCTGATGCACTTTACAACACATCCCCTGCCACACACACACACAAATCCAATCTCTCTTCTATAAAGTCACTTAACTTCTTCCAAGTGACATAACTCACATGAAAGAAAATTTTGCATACGGCAACACAAGAAGGATGAATACCAAGAAGAAACTGAGTAACTTCATGAGCAGGTGTGATGCTGTCTGCATATTTCACCCTAATGCTTCCAGCTGCAGGGTGGGCAACCACCCAGGCGTTGCCCATGGCCGAGCAGCCTGCAGAGCAGGCTGGCCCTGCAGCACCTGCAGTGCTGAGGCACGCTCTGCATGGAAGCAGAAGCAACAGGACAGCTGAGAGGGAGGGGGAAGAAGGGAGGGCACAAGTCTTGAGCATCATCACGTGCCCTTAAGACATTTTGCTGCTTTCAAATGTTGAGTTCTGTACACAGTGTTGTCTCCTTTCACAGATGAGACAAACATGCTTAATAATTTGTTCAGAGTGATGCAACAAGTCAGCAGTGGTCTGCTGTAAAACCCAGTTATGTCTTCTCCAAAATCTGTACTTACTTCTCTAGACCACAACAGTCCATAGAGAAGTGCTTTTCTGAGTGCAATCTCTATGCAATGCACAAGATGTGAGGGCAGCATAGGAGATGAGAATAGTAATACTTCAACAGAAAAAAAAAGGTCTAAGAAAAGGCTAATTAAATTACTGAATCACAGAATGACCTATTTAAGCAAATTGTTTTTCTGCTTGTATTAAATACGAACATCTAATTAGATGGGTTTCCCATTCTCCTGGTCCTTCAAATGTTAGAGAAATCTTGAAGTGTTGAATTAAAAGCATTATTCACTCAGCCAAAAAAAAGCAAATACTTCAAAAATTATGGAGTTTTCTCTCAAAGGACACAGGCACGAAGCTCATGTCCTTCCTGCTGTTTTTTACAGTTTGTTAACAAACACCAACATCTGAACTGTCTTGGCACTGACAGTCCTGGTAATGGCTAACAGCAAGCAGCTTCATTCAAAAGACATACAAAACTCCACACATAAAAGTCTGCTTATGGAAACCAAAATATGAAAGAAAGCTTTCTGTAAAGTTGGGTCATCTCATGCTAAAAAGCAATTCCATTGTGAGAACCACAGGCCCATATTCATCAATGCCTTGCCCTCCCACTGCTTCCCCTCCTCTCCTCCTCCTCTCCTCACCACAACCTCGAGCTACTTTTACAACTTCAGCTGTGAAAAGGAGAAACTATCTACTTAAAGAATATGCAATCTGAATTCTGCTGACTTGAGAGATTGACTTGTCCTCCCTCATTCTACTGTATAGTGTTACCTTATATTGATGAGGATTCCTTAGGATCCTATTGCCAAATACATGGCAATATCAGTTCAGTCGGAGGAAGGAGGACAATTCAGTCCTTTTCCACATCCCAAAAAATTCAGCAGTCAGTTTAGAAAAATTCTCCCAAATCACACAAAAGGGTTCTAGAAGTGCTTAAGTATCTTCAGCACAGGATGTTCTTTCTGAAGATGCTGTAGGTTACAAGCAACTTTCCCCCTGCAATCCTTTCAGGAAGTCCACCAAATGCCAGACAAACTTCCAAATTTTTAGGAGATTTAAGAACAGAAACTAAATGCCTCTGCTACATGTGCATACAGAATCACCAAAGCAGAAGATCTGTGCTAACCGTCAGTGATGCTATTCCCTTGTGATAGGATTTTAAAGCCTCAGCAATGCAGGAAAGTGCTGAACTGTAGTTGTCCTCTTGCAAACCTGTCAGACACTGCTCTGCATGAGAGAACTCCTTCAAACTGTTCAGCCAGAAGTAAAAGTGTTCGGAAGCCACCTGAGTCAGCAGGCTTTGATACAGTTCTCTGGCCATGTCGTGGTTGCCCTGTAATGACATGAAGGTTTGGGAAAGGGGACAAGAAAGAAGGTTGGAGGTTTCTAAGTAACACACACAAATAAGCAAACAGTATCACCTTCAGTACTATGCCTCACATCAAACATAGAAACAGAAACTTATTCCAAACATTTGATAGCAGCAATTCTAGAAATAAGTAAAAGAACAGAGGCTCATGCCAAACAAACAGCAGCCTGTGTGCAGTTTATTTACACAACACAGCCCAAAAAGGTCAGGAACAAATCTAGAAGTTTGCATTTGTTTTTGCTTTCATCTACATCCTGTGTTTCCAGCATTTTTGTAGTAACATTGACTTGGATACTATTCAATGAGCCCAGAGCTTAGAAGCATGAGCTCTGTCAGAGCTACCAAAATAGTGCTATGCTCTGATCTCTCCTCTGCAATGTGTTACTTTCTCTGGCTAAAATTACCCTGGCATCTTGTACTATAATACCTGCATAACTCCAACACCAGCTACAACTTCACTGACAGGAAAAGAAAAACAGAACCTTCTAGTTCCTTTCTTCACATTGAAGAAAGAGAAACTCATAGCAGAAGAGCCTCTATCACCTCCCAAAGAGCAGCCACTCAAAGCAGACGAGGCACATGTCCAAAAGAAGCATTGTGTCATTACTCTCCTCCTTCTCAAATACTTCAAAGAGACAAATGGCTAGAAAAGCCATTCTAATGGGATAACTGCCTTGAATGGCATTTATCTGAATCACCAGTCCAAAGAATTAAGACAGAAAATGACATATTTATTTTTCTCTGTCCCGAGTCCTTCCATTTTCCTTACTTTTTCTTTCAGTTCAAAGGAATCGCCAGGCTTCCTTTCACCATGGCTAACCACTGTGCAGCCGGGATTTCACTTACCATTCTGGAGGCCTGCCTGGCTATCCTGTACGCTGTCCACCCGTTGGAGGCGTTCTCCAGCTGCTGCTTGATCACCGTTTTGATTTCTGAAGATAAAGCTGTCTGGCTGGAAACAAATATCACTGTGGCAAGAGAGACCTAGCAAAGAATAGAGGGGTGAGAAGGAAGTTGTAACTCCAGAAAGGTGGGGGGGGAAAAAAAAAAAAAAAAAAAAAACCACACCCCAAAAAACACTTTCCTAAATTAGCAAAAATGATCTGCTTGGTTTTGAGCTCAAAACTTTATAGAAGGCTAAATGCACATTTTAACTGAAAAAAATAATTTTAGTGCTATCTTTTAAATACTTACAGTAACTCACGTATTTCTTGTAGATTAAAGCAAGAGTTTAAATTAAAGAATCTTTATTGTTGCTCTTAGCTGGTATTTTTGAACACTCCAAACTGCATTAACAGCAAGCTTATAATTTCTTCCTTAAAATTCATTTTCAAATAGACATAAGAGCATTTTTATCTCTTACTCTATATTAAAAGTCATGGGGAACTATATATAAATTGAGAAAGTTAACTGCCATTTTGTCTCTCTAGAAAGATTATTTCAGCAGAATATCCCAATAATTTGAGTAGTTAGGATCATCTGAACAGTGCCATCTGCTGGAAAATCCAACAGAATACATTGCACACTTCATCTATATGAGCCACGTGAGTGATTTTAACGTTGAACACTAGCGTACATAATTCAAAGTTAAAGCAATACTTAACATATGGCTATAGATTAACATATTTTGCACACAACAAACAGCTTAACTGCCTTTTTTAAAATAAAAAGCATCTACTGCAGTGTCCACAGACTTTGTCCTTTAGCACAATTCAACAGAAAAAGGAGGTCTTACCAAGAGTTCCTGTTTTTTATCGGTCCCAGAGCGCCCGATGACTTTGTAGAGCTCCATGAGGTCCCCTAGCATCCCATCTGCTAGCACAGGCAGCTGCATGGCGATGGCTGCTAGGCAGTGGCACATGAGGATCCTGGCAGCATCCTGGGCACTATGCAGCTGGGTCAACAGGGATTCAACCACAGACTGGCTCAGGTGGGGACGGCACTTGACCAACTTCACCATGCAAGTTAACGTGATCTGTAATTCACACATGTCAACAATAAACACAGGGTCTACTTAACACAAAAAAACCCACAGACACCTACCTGAAAATATGATTACAGAACTACACAGAAGGCAGTATTTTCAGAACCATGTACTGTACAATGATGAGATCCCCTAAGAACACAGGCCCCTGTCCCTGAGTTCACAGCACAAGAACACATCAAAAACTCAAGAGACTGTTCTCCTTATCAATTCACCTTTACACATAAACAGTCAGATAACATTACTGTTAACAACTTATGCAGTAAAACGAAAGCATAATAGCTCATAGAAGTGTTGTATTCAAGTATATTGTGCCCAATCACCAAAAAGGAGGTGATCAGTTCTTCTTCCACTCTGAACTCGTATTACTGACAGAGAGCAGAATAATCTTGAGCTCTCTCCTCACAGCGCATTATGCTTTCACCACACACAAGCTGGTGCAGCGTATTTCTTCTCCTATATGATCTCTTACTTTAGCTTCACGCTGTGTCAATAAAAGAGAGCATAACTGTCACCTTCAAGGTTGCTTGAGCTCCTGGACTGTCATCTTGACTACAAAGGATAAGGAGAGATTCCAATCCAAAAACTGCATCTTGCTCCAAAGGCAGGAGATCTAATGGGGGGGGGGAAGGAAAAAAAAACAAACAAACAAAAAAAAACACAGATAAAGTAAGTTTCCTCTTCCAACTTCTGATGTAGTAAGTGTAAGGCTTGCCCTGGGGTTGCACTGGTAACAGACACTTCCTAGCACTCCTAGCTTTATTTGTGTTAGAATTAATTCTGACATTCCATATCTCAGATAACTATCCTACCATCATGCAAACTGTGACATTTTTAGGGTGTGCAAAAAACTTTGGACTGAAACTTCTAAATGATTCATCACTCTCTTCAACAGATTTTTGTGCCAAAAGGTCTCAGCGGGAAGGCATTAGTCTATGGCAAAGGCGAGACAAGCATTTATTGAGCAGGAGTTCTAATATGCTCATTTTCCCTAAATTAGAGGATGATAGAATCTTCATAAACACTCATGAAATTCTAGAAAACATTTTCTAGTAGGTTACAGTTCCCACGCCCCCCAGCCTATGGAAGGATCATGCTAGCACAGGAGAAGTTTGGGTGTAAGACCAGTTAATGTGCGGCAAGCGCAGAGGCGTGATTAAACCACCACAGTGCACTGTTTTTGCTTTCAGTTACCTTTTTCCTGGCAAGAAACTGTTATATTGGTCAGAATTCTCACTCCATGGGCTGCAATACCCCGGTTATTATGGTAACAGCACTCTTGGGCTAGTTTCACCAAATCAAATGATCTTGCAGTTGTAGTGGCTGCTCCTAAATAAGGACAACAGAAATGGCGCAGGAAACAGCAAAGTCAGTTTTAGCACAAAACCTTTTCAAACACAATTCTGCACAAAATCTACACTAACTTGGTTTAATTTCCTCTTCTTTAGCCTACCCTTTAACACACACCTGCACAATTACATATCTCCTATATTTACAGAAAGGGTCTCCGTCATTTCCTGATCTGCAAAACTCATACAAGTTAAACATGAGAAAGAATTTCGGGTCTAAAGGCTGGTATTTCGTGATGGAGTTGGAGGTCTTAAGAAAGATTATATCCAATTCCAAAAAGCTAGTGAGCATATTAATTATTAAGATGTCTCAGAATGACTGAAGAGAATTCACTAATTTTCTTAATTTCTTCATTTCTGCAGCCCATATAGTTGGGCTCATCATATTCACTTACTCATTGAGGCAGTCTTGCTTTCAGGAAGAAAAAAGAAACAAGGTTTTTATCACCATCATTCTAACAATATAAGGAGGACTTCAAAATGCCTACTTTATTTCTCCACAGGGTTTACCTGTCACTGAAGCAGGTCATTCCCACAGAACTGTCACCTGGCTTCACTGTGCCAGGGTAGCACAGCAGCCCACTCTCACACTATGTCTCACTCCATGCTACATTGCTCCATTTATTCATACTCAAAAATCACGCACGTCCATGGTTTCAAAGCATCATAACAAGAAATACACATTTGTGATTTGAGAGGCATTAATTTTCCTCATTTTAGAAAGAAAAGCTGAAAACTCAGAGGTAAACAAAACTTTCAACTAGCAAACTACCTTCCTCCTCCACTCCCCCCAAAATCAGGAACAGAATCCAAGTCGATGACTGTTCTTCGGTATGCATAATACCATTTCAAGCTGCCACAATAAATATGATTCAAATCTCAACTAGAGTTCCTGAATTTAAAAATACTTTAGAAATGTGTCATGAAGCATTTAAATTAAGCCGAGTACTAGCAGTAAGCCAATACATCAGAAAAAAAAAGCCAGAGGCAACAAATTCCTACAGCTTTCTTACCTGGAGCACTGCTGAAGTACTGCTTAATGGCAATGGTTCCCGACAGCGTTGAAAGAACGGACAGCATGCCCAGTTTCAAGCTGTCATAAGGAGTATGAAGAGCAGATTCACAGAGTGCCTAAAGGTCAGAAGAAGGAAGGAGATATCACAGAACGGTCCAGCTCTCTTAGCTGCTTCCCATATTGGAGATGCACCAACCTCTTCATCATCTTCATAGCCAAACAAGAGACTCTCCATGTCCTTTTGTATTGTGGGAACCCAGAATTGGGCACAGAATTGGATATATGGAGGGAAGGAAGCCCCACAAGCTATCTGTTTGTAAAGGTTTAGTTGCATTTGCTTATGGCAAGTTTTGAGAATCAATCTCTTACCACAGAAAACTCTACACTGAATAAGTTAAAAATCATTACTTCAAACACCAGTTTTAGTAGACTGAAGACATGTCTTGTAAGAAACGTGGCAAGGGGTCTTGTACACTAGCAAACACCCAATAGGTTGTTTATTGGTTAAAAATAACAGGAAATAAAATCAGGTCTCATTGATTAAGTGTTGCTACAGCTTTTGAGAGAGCTTCCCAGGCTACTAATGGTGTATCGAGTATTTTGCCCTATCTTCTGTGGTCTCATAGAGTCACAAGGACAATACTGGTCATGAGAAAATAATTTTCTGAGACAAAGTCAAAATTACACTTGCCCTTTTCAGTACACCCTTCTACAAATCCCTTACAAACACTCTCAGTGTTACAAGAGAGCATTTAACACACGCTCAATACCCTAAAATGAACGAGAACATTCAGTTCTGATGAACTCTTCAAATCTTAGCTTGTTAGAAAAATTATTTCTTTACTGTAAAGATGCCTACTGCACTATATTTCTCAAATATTCTCAGATATTTCTCAAGTGTTCAAGTAATATCTAGTGACTCTGTCCATTGCAGTAACAAACAACTATCTGAAGACACACTGTTCCCTCCTTAAACTTCCCCTGCTTTTTCTTTCTCCCCACTCTTTTTCTTCTTTTAGAAAAGAATTCTACAGCTCTTTGTAAATTTTTACAATAAAATTTAGCTTAAAAACGTGTAAACCTGAATATTTTCTCTACTCCATGTATGTGGTGTCTTATTGGCCAATAACTTTAAGTCTTGGATTGCAAGTCTCTTCACAGCCTTCCTTGGGTCATTCTTCAAGTACTGCAACAAAAGTTGAACCTATAACAAAGTAAATTCATTGTTTAAGAGGAGGAAATGCTAGTAGAAGGAAGTCTTTTCGAAAGCACTCATGAAGGAATTTTGAGCATACTCAGCTAAAGCTACCATGTTTGATCTGCCAGACTGCTTGCTATGAGGCAAAGTCTCTACTCAAGCTGCAGTGAAAACATTTCAGCAGTTGTTTGCCACTATTCTTCTCTCATCCTTGTTCATTCACTCTTCCCTGCATCCCCTTGGTACCTAGGAGACCCTGAGAGCTTTTTCAGCAATCTCACCTAACAAATACTATAAAATACCCCCAAGAAGCTGTGTAAACTACTTGTACTATCCTCACTATGCAATGAGGAAGTATGCAGGCATTTGAAGCTAACTTAGGTGTCTGCATGGTTCGCAGAGAACACTGCTATCAGCATATTGCAGATGCCTCAGAAGTTGCCAAAAACAATACAAACCATTTATAATGGATGTCTACCACATCCATCAGGATTTATTTTCAGCATCAGCTGGGATACACTTTCTTAAACTTGCTTTGTACTTTAAGTTGAAGAAGCACATTTAAGAAGAATTACCTGTTTAGGAATGTCAACCAAAGAGGAAGCAGCAAGCAGGGTAAACGTGTGCAGAGTAACAATGACCATCTTGGTAGAAGGATATGATGTTACCAGCTGCTGAAGCAGCTGCCGGGAACTGGAGGCCAAGCTAGCATCATGATGCATGTGCTGCAGAATAGGGATCAACTTCAATTTCAAGTCCACAGGTGTGGCTAAACCTGTAACATGGAAGGGAGACGTAGCCAAAGCATTAGCCCTTTATGTTGGCTTTTGACAAATACTGAAATGCATCATATGTCTGCACTGCTATCACTGTTCACAGTGCAGACTCCTTAACTAGTTTTAAACAATCTTAATGTTGGCTAGCAGCATAACCACAGCAGCATTAAGAGTTCTCAGAGGTCCCTGGGAAGGTGACTCTTTACTACGCTGCAGGTACTATCTACACTAGCTCATGCAAAGTCACTCGAGAACCTACAGAAGCTCACTCACCATGCTATAGACTTTTTCCCAAGCAGGTATTTTGAAAACTTACATTTTAAAGAGGACACACAGAAGAATCAGACGTTGGGTTATTCATTAGTTCATTTAACTTCAAAACTGGAATTGTCTGAAGATAAGGGCAATGGCATTCTGGTAATATTTACACATGAATAACGAAGAATTTTCAAAGAAAACACAGCTTTTTCTTTTATCATTCAATATACATGCATACCTTGAATCATCTCACTGATCTTATTACATATTCCTGCAGCAAAATCCCTGTAGAGAAAAGACAAAGTAACACATTCAATGAGTATCAAACAGACCCAATGTCACTTTTTAACAACAATAAGGAAAATTGCCTAATACATAATTTCTGTATAATAAGTGTGTTCTTCCACTTGCCCTTCCTGTATTTGTGAATTTTTCCGTAGTACATCAGGAAAATGTTAAATTTGGGTTTAGATTTCCTACAATACTATTCCTATACATAATTAAATGCTTTGCTACAAATGACATTGCTAACACTATGGGAGCAAACACTAGGTTTTGTGAATGATACTGTCAATGGAGTTTACATTCTCTGTAATACGAAAAAAAAATAATCTTACTTTGATTGTGCAGAGAAGTTAGCAGCAGCAAATATAGCAGCTTCAACTTCCACATTATCGTGGGAATCCAAACTCTGACGGATACTGTGATGTGCATTCTTCCTCTCTGGAATGATAGATGCCATGCTGCCCAGCATCCTACAGAAATAAATCACAGCAGAATCAGGAAGCGCAGTGACTATAAAGAAAGGGAAGTAAAGAAACCAGGGATGTGAAAGGACTAGCTAAAAGACTTCGCTTACATACAGATAAATGTTCATTCATGTCTATTACAGAGACAAGCAAATGAAAATAACAGTCATGTAATTAACATTAACAAACATCGACAGGTGGCTTCTGTTAGTGGTTTAATCAAACCACTTATAACTTACAATATACATTTACATAATATCTTTGCACCTTGCATGGGCACAGTGAGAAAATGTTTTCACGAAGCATGCTTATAGAATTAAGAGTGCAAAATAGTGCTGGGAATACTGAGTATTTTTAAGTTGACGCTTTTATGTTCAAACTCTGATATCAGCATGACAGATTAAATGCTAGAATGTATTAATGGCTATTTTCATACATACATGAAGCATATATTATGGGATTTAATATCATAAATTGGGTAGTCTTCCGGGATAAAAGAGGACTTAGAGAGCTGTTCCCAACCTTTCTATCTCTCTTTCCATTGAGAGGGCAGAAGTATATAACTGACAACCATCTGGAAAGTCAGAAATGTTAATCACAGTAAAAGAGCAATGCTTCCAAAGTATTTCCAAAATCAGGTAAGCAAATACCAAACGTTTACCAACTGTTTCTAATATAATTTGCTGATCCAAGAAAGAGTTGTTATTAGTAGTGGTGTAATCCCTTTGGTGTAAATACTAAAAAAAAAGGAGCAAATTGAATTATCTATACTTTTATTAGGAATATCTCAGAACTATCTTTCAAATATGGAAAGTCAAGTATAATCAAAAATCAGGATGAATACAGGCTTTAGACTGATGGCAATTTTAGCAAGACTTATATGTTTAGACACAGCTATCTAGCAAGAAAATTCCTGTCCTTACACAAAGTTTTGTTTTAGTCAACTTTTCTTATGGCATGTTCCTTCTTATTGACACCACTCAAGGAGCACAAAACCGATCAAGATTTTCATACTGCAGAACCAATGACTATTTTAATATGTCTTTCACTTGACATATCTTGTGAATTGATAAACGATTCAAGTGTATTCCTGAGGTTTTCGGCAGTATGTCAAGGTGGCCCTTCACATCACCTGTAATCTTATTTCATAATGCAGCAGGGAAACTATAAGAAGAGCTAGAAATATACTAGCCTCATAAATTTCTGAAGCATTAGGACATGAAAGCATCATCTCAAATAATTATGTCAAAACAGAAAAGAAATGGATGTACAAGCTAATAAAAACAAAACCCTATTAACGTGCCCCACCTTTCAGGACTGAAATCGTTAATAGTTCTGAACAGACAGTTGAAAGCGCTTGCAAGATGCAGTTAAGATCATGATGCTGGTCAATATTACAAAGACAGACATCAACACGACAGGTCACTGACACTAAACAAAAAAATCCTCTTTTAAGCTCTCTTTGAAACCAAGAGGGCCAAAGGGAGGGATAATGTATGGGCACTTCCTTAAATATATTGATCAGGGATTGACAAACAGGAAACGTCTATGGCAATGAACAATGAAAAACAGGTGCAACTGTTACAAGGTACACATAAATAATTTTGTTTACAAGTCAGCAAAAATTATTTTGACGTATTAGGAAACACTTTGCTTTGCACTTCTGTCCGCTTCCGTCATTTGCAAATGCGTGTTGCACGTAGTTAGTATGTTATAGTTATGTTACAGCATTGTCTGCCCCATCTCTCACCATCATAACTTTCAAATAAACTTGTTCTTATCAACACCGGTCCTTAATTTTTTTTTACTTACTTTAAGATGACTGTCTCTGCTTTTAAATTCAAGTCCAACATGGAAAACACATCCTATATTTTATTCATGGTAATTGCAGATTTTTATTATTCCAGACTAGGATAATTAGCTAAATGAACGTGACGTACATGAAGTCTTTCTTACAAATACATACCGGAGTGTAATAGCTCGAGCAACTGGATCATTGCTATGAATTACTGAGAAAATTCTTTTCACAAACTCATCCACATTTAAGATCTTCTCTAAGTGCTTCTCACTCTGCTGAGTAACTTTGAGCACACACAGCCTCAGGAAGTTGTTCCTGTTAGAAAACACATCCTTATCTCTGTCAGACCATATTATAATAGAATTTCACAAACACACAGAGCACTTCAAGCAAGCAAAATTACTAAAGATATTTAATTAAAACCAGGCAACATCTAACTATATTTTAGTGGACTGATAGAGTTATGTATAGTTAGCTATGTATAAGTATATATATAGTTAAGGGAATATTAACACATTACTTCTGCTTTACAGTACATTTAACACCCAATTTAGGCCCAATTATTTTCCAGTAAAATTAATCTGTTGAAACCAATGAGAATGCACTGACATGGATACTTTTTTTGTAAGTTATTACAAAGTAGTTCTAATTCTGCCACACACATCATTTAGGCATCGCGCACTTGGAAATACTACACATTGGCCTTCACTATGATGCAAATGCCAAGGCAACTTGCAGGCTTGGGGTGTTCACTTATTTATTACTTTGGATTGTGCCTACAGGGAGGGATTTGCATCACTGAACTTAAATGACTTAGTAAGAGGTGAATCCTTGATTCAGGATAAACGGCAGGAAGAAAGTGTCTCTGATCACTCACAGCCACTTACACCACTAAGGATGGCGCAGACAAGCTTTAACTAAAGACACCTAGTCCTGTAGAGACCAGGGATCACTGTGCTCCTATCAAGTAAAGAGAAAGAAAACCAAAGCTGCCCAGATACCAACACAACAGGACTCCAGGCTACAAGACATTACTACAGGCTTAAAGCATCACAAACTGACCGACACTACTCACCCAACTCTGAACACATCAGCTAGCTTGAGGAAAGCCGAGTTAATGAGAATGGGGAAGGGGTATTTCTGGAAGAGCCGGGGGAAACGCACCACGGCTTCGCACTGCTCCCCGAGCTTGCCGGACCTGAGGCCTGCAGCGACAACGACAG